GGTGGCGAAATTTCGGTTATGTGGGCGTCAGAAGAGAGCAGGCTGTAAAATGTAACAAAAATAAAATTTTCGAATTATTTTTTCCAAATGACAGAAATGGTTTCTCATGACTTCGTACAGGAAAGGATTATGTTATAGCTATATCACACTGATCACCCCGTTGAGCCATCTTCTTAATTTTTCCGCTAATTCGCCGTCCACCATTTGAGTTCCTGTGAGTGAAAAGTTACCGCAATATCTTCTGTGGTAGTGGCGTGGATTGACAAACGGTGTCCAACGCTACTGGGACGGTTCTCTGGCGGAGGCGTTTACGGTTAAGGTCGCGAGTTATCATGTGACGCGTGCAGTACAGAAGTATAAATATCTAAAGGGTGTTCGCTATTGGGGAAAGAAGTGTTTGTTGTTGAGAGAAATATTCTTTGTTGACGGATTTCCCTGGCTTAAATCGTGGGATCACCTCCACGATTTTCACAAATCAGGAATAACACACGAACTCGCGGCGGGGGCCAACTACATCACCATGATCAAAACCTATCATTACCATTCTCGTTGTTTCTCATTTGTCAGGTGGTGCCACTATTTAAGCCGGGAAACCCGTCAACAAAGGGTATTCCTATCAACAGCAAACATTTCTTTACCCAATAGCGAAGACCATTTAGGGTACTGCACGCGCCACCTGATAACTCGTCAAGATTAACGGTTTTGAAGACTTCACCTTCACGGCGGCCACGCGAACCTAGACACTGGCGAAAGCAAGAATTTTGTTGGTTAATAGAAACTTGGCCTTGTTTACCGAAGGATGCAACTTAAATTATCCGCTGAAGTAGCGTATCGCTTTGGACTCTACAAGCTGCAATCGCCGAATGCAATCTCAACTCTATCATCGCACTTCGTAGGGTTACACAGGATCATTTGAGTTGACCAAAGCTTACTCATACCACTGGTGAAGTTGCAGGTCTTTAGTTAGTCTTGCCACTTTTTCAGCTTTTGTAGGTTGACCAGTTGTCGTATGCTTACTATGGAACTCGCTAAGATTAACCCGGCGACGATGGTCACGGTTTTCGCCAAGCGGAATAGACGTGCTCCAATTAGTCAATTGGTGGAGAAAGGGCGACGAAGGTGCTCTCGGTGACTTCCGCAAAATCATTTGAAGCAGTTGGCGCCCAATGGCTCGCGGGATCTTTTCTCCTTTGGTTTCACTACATTTTCAGTTCAGTTGATGAAAAATATCAACAAAATATCATAAGAAGTCTTCAAAAATTGTCAATCATATCTTAAGTATAACTTAAAGTTAGAAAATATATAATTTCGTAAGTATTCTATTTGCGCGCTTAGTAAAAAAAAATACTCACTTATATTTTGAACACCAGACCACTGGGCAATCGTCATTGCTTCATTCGCATATAACATCCACGACAGGAATTGTGTCCAGTAAAAGGCCATAGGCAAAGTGCTGTAAGTAAATTAGACGAATCCACATACATGCATATATATGCAGTATACAGTTACGTTCATCAGCGGTAATTATCTCTTATAAGCTTATAATGTAGATGTGTATGTATGTAAGCTAACTACGAGTAACTCACCTAATTTTAATGAAAATTCCAGATGTAATCATGAAAATGTAATCAACAGGTACCAAATATGCCATTGCCAATGGCACAGAATTGAATGCTGTGGAAAAGAAGCAGCCGCAGGCAGTAGCCACATTCATAACCAAAACGATAGAGATAGCCGTTATGCTGAATGCAAAAAATGTCGGCCGCAAGCCAGTTATCCAATAACAGATTATAACGAAAAGTAATGGTTCAATGATCATGCCAGGCAACTGAAAAATTTATTATTGATTAACTAAAGGAATGTTTGTAATGTGTCTGCAATTTTTATATTTTATATGCTAATAAAAATGGAACTCTAAAACAGTTTGACCGATTAGAATATTTTTGATAATACCCAGATGAAAAAAAAAATAAATTTGAAAATTTTAAGAAAATATTTTTTAGGAGTGTTGCCATCTTTTTCAAAAATTAAATATAATTTAATTGATAACTTAAATTACATATTACAATTGGATATCAAACTAAAGAGGCTTAAGAAAGTTTATTGGCTAAAAAATTTCTGTGGAGGGTTGCCACTTGTATGAAAAATTGTATTCTATTAAATTTATAAAATAAATAAAATATTACAATATAGGTGTCAAACAAAACAGATTTAAGAATAGTTTACTGCCGAAAATATTTATGGGACAGGTTGCCACCTTTTTGAAAAATTTAACTCATTTAAATGATAAGCTAAATATTTCTATATGGGTATCAGATGAAAGGTTTTGGCGTAATCTTTGAGTTATAAATATCTTCAACTAGCAAATACCCAGCGTGCTTCGCAGCGCCCTCAAAGCATTTTTTTAACTCTCTCTGACTGTAGTATTTGTAGAGTACTTAGGAAAGTTTTTTTCAAATTATATCTATACAAACAAATTTGAATTTAGCTTTTTATGGAACATAAATATACGGTCTTTGAATTTTTTTTGCGCTCAGTATCAAAGGCGACAAATATTGAGTCAATACATCTTTGAGGAAAGTGCGCGACATGTAGACTCGAGTAACAAGATTATGAATTAAATTTCCAGGAGAATGTCAATACTTTGCCCACTTTATAAATACCTTCGAAACTATGTTTTACCAGATTTCCTGCACCCGTTTTGCTGAGTGTATGTTATTTCTGCGTGCCACATTAGGTGAGAGAAAATTTTAAAATTTTCTTAACCGAGTTTAAAATATTTTCAAAGTAAAACTTTTAATTTGAGTTTGTAAACAGGTGGCAGCCCTCCTACTTGTAGTTTAGAAATGAAGCCTTTTAAAATACATTTCGATTAATTTAATTTATTAAATAATTTGATTTGAATTTAGTTTTAAAACACCATATTAAAACACCTCATGAGTTTGACACTTTAAATTGTGTATAATTTAATTAAAGCCTATTGTTCAAACAGGTGGCAACCATATTCAAAATATTTTCAAACTACCTATTTCGCCTGACATCTATATTTTTATACAAATTTCAATTACCTAATTCCATTAATTCAAATAAATTTTGAGTTTTCCAATGGATGGCAATCCTCCTACATCTAGTTTAGAGATAAACCATTTTCAAAACCATTTCGATTGATACCTATATTGTAATAATTAATTTAAGTTAATTGGATTTTATATTTAAACAGGTGGTAACTCTTGTAAAACACCCCAATAATATTCCAAATGTTAAAACTAAAAGTTTAGTTTTTCATATAGCTTGCGAATAAATAATTTAAATTTGACTTTTCAAATAGGTGGCAACTCAGTTCAAAACATTACCAAACTACAACTTTTTAAGCCTCTTTCATTTGACACCCATACTGCAATACATATTTCAAATATATAATTCCCTTTATTCAAGTTGAATTTGATTTTTTAAACAGGTGGCGGCCCTCCTTCAGGAATATGAAATTGATTTTTAACCGACTTCAAAAACGGAGGAGGTTATCAATTCGCTGGAGTATTTTTTTGACGTAGAATACGTCTTACCTTAAGGTATGGGGGCTAT